TATATATATATATATATATATATATATATATATATATACAGTCTTTTCTGTTTAGCCAGCGCTTTTCGCGCTCAAGCCTTATCGCGCTTGCTAACACGCCCATAAAAACTTTGGCAAGCACATAAAAAAGTGCTAGCCAAAAAAATAAATGCTTTTTTTTAAATTACAACAAAACTTTTTTGTTAATTTCTTCAACTTTTATGAAAAATGGCATTTTTAGCAGGGTTTTTTTCTTTTTTCTTTTTTTCACAGCATGCTTTTTGCTGTTTTTATTTTAATTTAAATAGCAGAAAAAAATGAGTTTTTCAAATTGCGCAAGATATCTTGTCTAGGGCATCCAATACTGGTATACCGATAACCGGTATCCTGGTATACCGGCTGTTTTTCCAATCCTGATACCAAGCTCTGAATACTGGTATATACCTGTATTTCAGTTATTTTTTTATTCACACAGAAATTGTTTGATGAGACTTTAGAGTGCGTGTTTAGATACAGAGATTTTTAAAGAGTTATAAGTGCAAAAATATCACTGAAGAAAACTTTGATTATAAAAATGGATAAAAAAAAAGACTTTCTTAGATCTAGAAAGCCTTTTTTAATATTTAGTTACCAAGGTATTAAATAAGTTACATTTATATTTTGAAACTCTTATAATAATTAGTTTAAGTATCTAAGCAAAAAAATATCACTGAAGAGAACTTAGTTATTGAAATAAAAAAAAGCTTTTCTTAGATAAAAATTTTTTTTTTAATATTTAGTTACCTGTTTGTATAAATTTTTTAAAATTATTAAATATTTGGAGAGCATTTTTTTTTCACTTTGTTTTTATAATTAAATTCTAAAATTGCATCGAACTCTTTATCAGTTACCTCAATTTTGAAGTCAAGGTCGATCAGTGACTTGCGAATGCAATTTGTCAATTTTACATAATGTTCGAGCATTGTGTGCAAGCTACACCAGTGAGTTTTGGAGTCAAGTATTACCAAGTATTACTATATTCATTTAATGTGTATTTTTGAAGTGTTTGATCATTTTTTGTTGGAGAACGGCAAACAATTTCTCAACAGTGCGCACCTTTTGATTAGCAGCTGCAAATCATCAGTCAGTTCAATAGAGTCATTCTTTTCACTCATTACACCGGAAAAGTCTTCATCATCATTGGTTTTGTTTGTGTCATTGTCATTTCTATCCTTGTCACATTTGTTGTAATTGCAAATTACTTTCAAGTTTTTTTTTCATGACCTTTTGTACAAAACATATCATCTTGACATTTTTAAAAAATTAAAATATTCTCAAGTTTTAATTTTTGTTTAGTAATTTTCAATTAAAATTGCGTGTGCATTAGCGCTATATTCAATTCACATTGCGCTTCCGTTTCAACAAGCGCTTGGTTAAAATAGTAAAAATTTCATTATAGAAATCAGCAGTAACAACTTCAAACTTTTCATCTTTTACGTTAGTGCAAAACTCAAAAATGTTCTACATTAATACTAGTGATGTAATGGTTATATTTTAAATAAGTGCATTGTTAATAAAAGGAAAAAATAAAAGGAAAAAATAAATTAAATAAAGAAAGACAAAATTTTACTGTTAAATTAAACTAGTTTTCAACTAAATTTTTTAAACAATAATTTTTTAAATAAAAATCAATTAAACAACTTATTATTTTCACCATCCCAAACTCTTTAGCGAGTTTGGTTTTATACTCTTATTACAAGATGAACAAGCGTTGTTTATCGCGACTGTAAGTTTTAAATATTTCATTTACTTTCGTGTTTCAGATAAATAGAGCGATCCCAAGTCCTCTAAATATATTTTTAATACTGGTGTTCAACCAAACCAATACTGGTATTTCGGTACTTGAAAAAGTCTAGTAATACCGGTATTCTGGTATCGCACTAATCAGAGTTAAGAAAAAAATTGAAGTGTTTTGTTATAAAGTAAAAAATTAAACTATGAAGTTGATGATTAAACATTGTTCTTCTATTTATTTTTTTAATATTTTATAATTCATTATAAACTTTAAAAAAGTTTATATTTTTTTATTCTTAGTTCTTTAATATTTTTTTAATCACAATTTTTTTACCAACAGGTTTTATATAATAAATGGCTTGAATTCTGTAGATGGCTAGTTTAAATTTCAAAATTGCTTCAAGTGTAACACCTGTTGCTTCATTATCTCCTAGCTGATCAGTAATGGTTTTGATTGTTTTTGGCTTTTTAGCTGTTGGTTGATCTTGATTCAGAGCATCTTGAATTTTGTCAAAAAAGGATGCTGATTGTGATGGTTCTCTTTGTTTGGTTTTAGCGCCATCATTTACTTATGGTCGGATGCTATTTTCTTTTGTTGCAAATATTTGATCAAATAGTTTTGCAGCAGAAATCTTAATATCTTTTTTTGAAGCGTGAAAAGTGTGTTTTTATTTAAAAAAAAAAATTGGATACCAACATTTTGTTTTTTCATCTCAAATACACTGTTTCATCTAGTGTGGTTGTCCTTTGTCATGCAAAGATCTGTTAATTTTATGTATGTTTTGTAATTAATGTAATAAACGTAAATTTTGTGTATGTTTATGTAATTTTGTGTATGCAAAGACCCATAAATTTTGTGTGTCTTTTAGAACTTCATATCAAAACAATGAATATTTTAAAAACTTAATTAGTATTCGAAGTTTCTTTAGACTTTTTTTGATATTTTCTTCATATTCAATCTTTTCCTCTGAATAATTAGTAAGAAATTCTCTTTCAGTCTCTCCAGCAGTTTCCATTTTTGCTTTAATATCCAATTTTTATCAATATCAAAGTTTCTTTGCACAATTTTTTAGCATAAAATTTTAATGATTAAAAGGAATAATTCTGGCAGATCTGATGTAGAAACCTAAATATGGTACCCAATTTCAACATCCACCATCAATCATCCATAGTTTTAATCGCAATATCTTTACTATGTAAGCCAAATTCTTAAAAAAATGTTTAAATATTTCAGCAGAACATAGAGATGGTAATTATACCTTTCCTATGCAATATGCGAAGGCATGCTGGTCTCCTCCATAAGCTTTCTTCTTATGGTGTATCTGGAAACATCTTTAAGATTATTGAATCCTTCCTTTCCAATCGTAGTATAAAAGTTGTCCTTGATGGACAGCACTCTTCTTCTTATTCTGTAACCTCAGGGGTTCCCCAAGGTTCAATTCTTGGCCCTATACTCTTTTTAATTTACATTAACGATCTTCCAGATATTCTCACATCTAAGGTGGCATTGTTCGCTGATGATACTACCATTTATTCTTGTCACGATAAGAAGCCAACTCCCTCTGATTGCTTGCAGGGGGCATCTGAGCTTGAAAAGGATCTCACTTCTGCTACAGCATGGGGCTCACAGTGGCTGGTGAACTTTAATTCAGATAAAACTCAATTTTTTTCGGCCAATCGTTATCGCAATAATTTAGACCTTCCTATGTTTATGAGCGGTAATGTACTCGATGAGTCTCCTACCCTTCATCTTTTAGGATTAACTCTTACTTCTGATCTTTCTTGGAAACCTTATATCAAATCCGTTGCAAAATTAGCATCTGCTAAAGTTGCTTCTCTTTATCGAGCTCGTCACTTTCTTACTCTGGATTCTATTTTCTATCTCTATAAATCTCAAATTCGGCTTTGTATGGAATACTGTTGCCATATCTGGGGCGGATCTTCTAATGATGCCCTTTCTCTTTTAGACAAGGTGCAAAAAGGCATTGTAAACATAGTTGGACCTGCTCTTGCAGCCAACCTTCAACTTCTGTCACATCGTCGTAGTGTTGCTTCTCTTTCTCTTTTCTACAAATACTATAATGGGCACTGCTCTAAAGAGCTAGCGTCTCTTGTGCCATCTACTAAAATTCATTCTCGTGTTACTCGTCATTCAATTAAGTCTCATCTTTTTTCTGTTACTGTTCCTAAGTGCTCCAAAAACTCTTATTCGTCTAGTTTTTTTCCTCAAACATCAGTTCTTTGGAATTCGCTTCCTTCATCTTACTTTTCTGATTCATATAATTTGCAATATTATAAGTCGTCTGTCAATCGTTATCTTGCTCTGCAATCTTCATCTTTTCTCTTCCAGTAACTTCCAACACTAATTAGTGGTTGCTTGCAACCTTGTTGGAAGCAAAGATAATTAAAAAATATATATATATATATATAAAATTTTAGTACCTTCTACCTCTATTGTTACACCATTTGTCATCTCACATATTTTAAATCCTCAGATATTTGTTTTTAATTTGTTTAAGTTAAATAACTTAGCTTTAATTTAACTAATGTATTACACTTACCTTTTAGATAAATTAACTTTTTTTTTTGTTTTGTTTTGTTTGTTTTTAAAATTAAATCATAAAACATAAAATTCTCTGCCAACTGTGACATCACACTAGGTTGTCATTAAATTTTTTTTTTTCTAAAGAGAACATTTTCATTTTCAAAACAACAACATAGAATTATTGTAAAAGCAATAATTCTATGTTGTCTTCTCTCAAACTCTAAATCTCCAAAAACTCGAGAAAACCTGACAAAATAGAGTTCCTAATGGATCCATTGATATATACATATATATGTATATATATATATATATATATATATATATATATATATATATATATATATATATATATATATATATATATATATATATATATTTATATATATATGTATATATATATATATATATATATATATATATATATATATATATATATATATATATATAATATAATTCTTTTTTTTTTCTGTTATTTTATTTTATATTTTTTACATATTATAATATATATATATATATATATATATATATATATATATATATATATATATATATATATATATATATATATATATATATATATATATATATATATATATATATATATATATATATATGTATATATATAATTCTTTTTTGTTTTCTGTTATTTTATTTTATATACTTGTTTATAGAAGTTGTTTAACATTCTATTCCTACATTTTAGCAACTGTTATTGATTTAACAGATGACATTGGATCTAGTCAAGTTACAAATGTTTCATCGGCAAATGATAATCAAAATATTATAAAAGAAAACTTTAAATACTCCATTGATACTCACAAGGAGTTTCTTGATAATTTATCACTTGGTCGGTCCAACCAAGTTTTAGCTAATGATGTACCAAAAAGTTCATTTATTGATCGAGTTAATGACAAACTTTGTGATAAATCTACAAAAAATAAGTGGAGGTATAATATAGTTGTTAATGACATAAATAAACCTGTCAATCATTATTTTCCTTCACCAAATCAAGTTATCAATAGATATCAAGATGATGATATCAAGATATCGCCATCTAATAATGAAATAAAGAAAAATGAAATGTTTTCAAATTTAGGGACTTCTTTTAAAAAATCTGAACTTGATAGGGATGACTTGAAATTATCTGGTGATACCAGTGATTCAAGTAGTACAGCATCAGTTAAATATTCAGTTAATTCTAAAACTATATCTAAAAGAAAAAATAAGAGAAAATTTATGAGACGAACAAGCTGTTTACAAAGTGACGACTCAGATTTTGAAATGAGTTTAAATGAAAACTCCAAAAATATTGAAAACTCTTCTTCAAGAAAAAATTCTACTTCAAGCTTGCTTACTTTGAGTTTGACAAAAAATATTTCTGAAAATGGATATCCAAAAATAACACAAATAACACCAAATCCAAAAATAACAACTCCACTAATTTCAAAAACTCCTTGTTCTTCTCATACATATAAAGGACTTAAAACAACGGTGGATGTTGAAATGCCAATTAAAACAACGGTGGATGTTGAAATGCCAATTAATCCTTGGGCTCAATATGATGATAGTGATTTTTCTCATAATGATGGTATGATTGTTAGGTGTTTAAATTTTTGTATTTTTAATAAAACTTGTTTTTGTTTTTTAAGCTTTTTTATGCTAGTTTTTCATGTTAATATAATTTATGATAAGATTTTTATAAATTAGAAGTTATTAGTGAAGAGGATGTATATAGAGAAGAAAAGGAGTTAATTCTTTATGATATGGTAGGTGTTTTCTGACATATTTGTTTTAATGTCTGTTTTTTTACAAAAAAACTTTTTTTTTCGGTCTTTACAACAAGATACTTATTTTTATTTTGGTTTTTCTAGAAGTACACTATTTAACTGCTACAATTGATTATTTAGTTTTAATAAAAAAAAATTGAGCAGCCTCCTGACTGTAGTGGTTTTTGTTATTCATCTGGAGCTTTAGGGAGGTAAATTTAGTTTTAAAAAATAGAAAAGAAAAAAAAGAAAAAAAGAAGCGAGTGGTTAATAAATTAATAAAGATGAGTAAGAAAAAAGACACAATTAAAAAATGAAGCATGTAATCTACTTTAAATACTGTCCCTTTTTTATTTATTTTAAAGCAAAATTCTTTTTTGTAGCTATAACTACTAACAACATAACAACTAAAACAAGTAACCTTAAAAAAAAAATAATTAGTAGAGATTTTCTTCTTTTACTGCTGATTTGTTAATCATTAAAATGGAAACAATATTTAATTAAAATTAAAATCTTAAAGAGTGCATGAAAGTTTACAACCTTTTTTTTACAAAGCGGGAAAATTTTTTTTAAAAAATGAAGTTTTTTCTACGGTCCGAACTAAAAGAAATTTTGAGACCATATCTAAATCAAAATTTCGGAAAAGTAATGTTTCCTCTACGGTCCAAATTAAATGTAATTTTTGAGACCATAACAAAATAACAAGGAAAATCATACATCCTCAAAACATGTCGAAAGCCGCTAGTTTATAATCACTCTTATATATATATATATATATATATATATATATATATATATATATATATATATATATATATATATATATATATACATATATATATATATATATATATATATATATATATATATATATATATATATATATATATATATATATATATATATATATATATATATATATATATATATATATATAATTTATATATATATATATATATATAATCCTAAAATGAAAAACTCAATCACACATAATAACCACAAAAACATACATTTTTAACCACATATTATCTTTTAAAAGAAAATATTATCTAAATAAGGATGAGTTCAACAAAGATTTTTATCTATGAAAGAACAAAAAGCATGCAAACGATGTAAACAGGATGTATGTGCATAAGGGTGTATAGCTGTTATGTGAAAGTCTGTGCTGTTTATGTCGTTCAGTAGAGTCTTGTATCGTTAGTAACCAGCATGAAAGATTTGTCTCTGAACTGATGAAAACTCTTAATTTATCAAAATTCTTTCAATAAAGTTTAGGTAATTAAGAAATTTAGAAATTTTGTTTAGGGACACGAAAAACGCGAGAGCACAAAAATTGATTAACTAAACGAAAAAGAGGGCTAAATGCAGATTATCTCCTAAAAGACTATATTTAAAATATCCATTTAAATTTAAGGAATGTGTGTACATTTGTTTTTACTAGGAGAGACATGAAAATTTTCTTGATGAAAAGAAAGATTTGTTTGGAAATTGCCTTGATGACAATACTGAGGATATTAGATCAGTTTCGCCTTGTCTAATATCTCAAGAGATAAATTCAAGGTGGGTAAAGTTGTTTGTTTTTTGTTCATTATAGAATAGAAACGTCAAAATTAATCTTAAATTGTTTTTCAAAGTATACATCAATATATATAATGTATATTTTTTTAATTTTATTTTCATATATATATATATATGTATACATATACGTTATACTTTACTAAAGGTATAGTACATATTCCCTATGGTAGAAATTTGTGTAAGATAAGTAAAATATAACTTTCTACTTATTTTTATGCAGTCTGTTATTTTTAAAATCTTTTTATTAAAACTATTATTTTTTGACAATTTAAACCAATTTATCATTTTTGAAAAATAATATTATTTGGCTACAAAAGTGGTGTATAAAAATAAAATAAAATAAACAAATGTCATTGCTGGTGCAAATAAAAAAAGAAAAAGAATTGAACATTTAATCCCAATTCTAATGCTGATTTTTATTAAATATTATTTAATTTTAATAATAATTTTGTTTCATATTAAAAAATATGAACTAAAAAAAAACAACAAAAAAACAATTAAAAGAACAAAAGTGATAAAAAGATTTTTGGTTATTTTATAAAGAGGAATAAATAATTATAAATATTGATAGAATTTACAAACAATCGATCTATCTTATTCTTTGTACATTATACTAAACTGGGTTTTTACAGTAAAAATTGTTTGATTTTATAATCCTTTACTATTTTAATTTTTTTCTACTTAGTGATTCATTAATCAAGAAACATACTCACAAATCTGTTAACTCATCATTCAGTAAAAATTTATCTGGTCATTTTGAAAGTTTTTTACCTGAAGAAAGCAGACCTGAAGAAAGCAGCATACTAAAATCAGCTAAAGTAGTAAGTAAGACAAATTTATTGTTTATTTTATGAAATAAGACAAATAAGAAAGAATAAGATATATAAAAAAAGGAAATGGTAGGTAAGAAAAAATAAGATAGATATGGTTGTGCATGTTAAACTTCATAATATTTTCAAATGATTTGTTTTTTAAAGTTCCAGAAATCGCAAGGAGTACACAAATAATGATTTTTTAATACTTTAGTTTAAAATGCTTTTTCTGTTCTATTTTTTTTATAGAAAGAAACTGAGCTTGAAACGCAAGAAGCTTTTTTGAATAGTGCTTTATCTGTTTGTCATGTGCTTGAAGAAATACCTGAACAGCACCTTAGAATGCTTCCTAATCAATATTTTCAAAAGCTCAATGCAGCTTTAAAAACATGGTACAGTGTATTGTTTAAATTTTATTGGAAATTAAATTTCGTTTTAGATTTGATTACAGTAGACTATACACTGGTGGCCAAAAGTGTGTATCTATTAAGGATTTTTTTTTTAAATTTTCAAAACCAATTTTTAATTTTTGAAGATTTTTTATTATTTTTTTTTTGGTTTTTAAGGATAACACTAATATAATTCAAAATATGCTGCAATGGATGATTTAGAACCAACAAAATGTGGTGCAATATATACACTTTATAAAGAAGGTTTTAGTCAAAGACAAATTGCTGTAAAAGTTGGTGTATGTAAGTGAACTGTTCAAATAAATATTAAAAAAGGAAAAGATGGCTAAAACTGACCTTTCATACTGTCAAAAACTTGGGCAGTCAATGCCTGGCCGTATCAAGGAAGTTTTTAAAAAAAAAGGCTATGCTTGAAAATATTGAAACTATTTAAACTATTGAAAATATTGTTGCAACTTAATTTACACACATTTATGTCAATGTTTACATAAAATTAAGGTTTTATGATAAAATGTTTAAAAATTCGTTTTTTTTTTCGGGTGGATACACACTTTTGGCCACCAATATATATGTTTAATGTCAATAAGACAATTAAGGGTTAAGCCACTACCTAAATATAATACTATAAAAACATGCTCAATAGATATTTTTTTCAAGATATTTTTTTATGTAAAGTTTTAAGTGTGACACTTGCATATAAGCAGCATTGTTAACAAGGGTAGATCTAACATTCCATCTTTCATTCATGGGACTGATCTTATTACCTCTCCCAAGGATAAGGCAGAACTATTTGCAAAGAACTTTTCTTTTAATTCCACTCTTTAATTTTATGGACATTCTCTTCCTTCCATTCCAGTCAAACAGGTTGACCCATTGTTAGACATTCAAATCACTCCGGCTTCTGTTGCTAAAGTCATATCTCAATTAAACTCGTCTACAGCTTGTGGTCCAGACAACATTCCTGTCACAGTCTTGCAGAATTGTTCTCCAGAACTTTCTTCAATTCTCTCTAAACTATTTAACAAGTGTTTGACTGAGTCTTGTTTTCCTGGTTGTTGGAAAATGGCATCTGTGGTTCCAATATTCAAAAACTCTGGAGAAAATTCTGACCCCTCCAATTATCGTCCGATCAGTCTTCTTTCTGTTAATAGCAAGGTCTTTGAGTCTTTGATCAACTAATTCCTCACATCTCATCTTGAGTCAAATAAATTGCTGTCAGACAATCAATACGGTTTTCGATCCTCTCGCTCTACGGCCGACTTGCTAACTGCTGTAACTGAAAGATTTTATCGTGCATTAGATGAAGGCGGTGAGGCTAGGGCTATTGCTCTCGACATATCTAAAGCTTTCAACAAAGTTTGGCATGCTGGTCTTCTCCATAAGCTTGCTTCATATGGTGTTTCTGGGAAAGTTTTTGAGATTATTAAATCATTTCTTTCTAACCGGTTTATTAAAGTCATCCTTGAAGGCCAACACTCTTCTTTATTTCCAGTAACTTCTGGGGTTCCCCAAGGTTCCATCCTGGGCCCTGTTTTGTTTCTTATCTACATAAACGATCTTCCTGACAACCTTTCATCTAAAGTAGCTCTTTTTGCTGATGACTCAACTTTATACTCCTGTCTTAACAAAAAGTCTTCTCTTTTCGATCGCCTAGAACAAGCAGCTGATCTTGAATCTGATCTCACTTCAGTAATAGATTGGGGTTCACAGTGGCTTGTGAATTTCAACTCTAAAAAAACCCAATTGCTTACTGCAAACAACTACCGTAATATGGTCAACATTCTTATATTAATGAATGGCAATCCTCTTACTGAGTCGTCCTCTTTATGTCTTCTTGGATTATCGCTTACTACTGACCTTTCATGGAAACCATATATACAATCGATTGCTAAATTAGCTTCTGCTAAGGTTGCTTCTCTTTATCGTGCTCGCCATTTCCTTACTTCTGATTCCATTCTCTACCTCTACAAATCTCTTATTCGTCCCTGTATGGAATACTGTTGTCATATTTGGGCTGGTTCTTCTAACGATTCACTTTCACTTCTTGACAAGGTCCAAAAACGCATTGTAAATGTTGTTGGACCTGGACTATCTGCTAAGCTTAAACCTCTTTCCCATCGTCGTAAAGTTGCATCTCTTTCTCTTTTCTACAAATACTTTCATGGTCACTGCTCAAAGGAGTTATCATCTCTAGTTCCATCAACTAAAATTCATTCTCGTTTTACTCGTCATTCAGCTAAGTCTCACTCGTTTACTGTATCTGTCCCTGCATGCTCTAAAAACTTTTATTCGTCTAGTTTTTTTCCCCGCACTTCAATCCTTTGGAACTCTCTCCCATCTTCATGTTTTCCTGACTCCTACAACCTTCAACTTTTCAAGTCTTCTGTCAACCGTTTCCTTGCTCTATAACTCTGTTCTTTTTTTTTCTCCTAGTAACTCCCAACTTAATAGTGTTTTACTTGTTTTAGTTGCTTGCAGCCTTGTTGGGAGTGAATGCAAATAAAAAAAAAAAAGCAATTTGTTTTTTTTTTTTTTTCAAATTTTGAATTTATTTTAAATACCAACCCTCAGAATTAGGGTCAGCAATGCTGAACTAATGGCCGACCTGAATTTGTTTGAGTTTGACAATTTTTTGCTGACCTCATTTTTATGTTATATGGTAAAACCTTTGTATCAAATAATTTTTGCCGACCTGATGCCAACCTCTAAAAAATTGAGGTCGACAAATTATTGCCAACCTCATGTTTCCTAATTCCGAGGGTTGAAATACTAAAACCAACATAATTGAACACTCAAAATATATAATCGAATATTATTGAATGTTTTAAATGCAATTTATAATAATAAAAATCTAAGGTAAATTTATCTTCAAGAATCATTTGAATTTTTAAATTAGAAATTAATACACACTCAACAAATTCAAGATCAATTTATTGAAGACAAAATCTTATTTCAAAATTGTTAAAATTAGAATCCAAGGTAACAAATTTTTATAACCATATAAAAGCACGTCATGGCTTTTTTCAAAAAAATATTTTTAACTTGCAATATATGGTTAATACATGCAGATTAACTATGCTAGACTATACTCGACTAGACTAGTCTCAATAGTTTTTAAAAGGTTGAGAATTTTAAAGGTAGATGAAATTTTTTTCTGTTCCTAGCCAGGGTTTGACCTTGCCAGGATTTTTTATAATGATTTTAAACTTATGATTTTAAACTTAAACTTAAGCACGTATGCTCTTAGGGAGGAGGGGTCTTCAAATAGTGTATGGGGGAGAAGGGGGAGGGTTCAATATAAAAGTACAAACCCACTAATTAAAAAAAAAGATTCCTTGGTAATGTTTGTTTTTCTAATTTATCACAATAAACAAGTGCTTATTAATAAATTTTTTTGAATGAATAGCAACTTTTAAAAATAAAATAAAACCATACCATCTCATCATTGACCATAATTCGCCAGCTAATTTATATATTATTTTGTGACTAAAGAATCTAGTTTGCCTACATAAAAAGATATATGCATAAGAGACGGGGAGGGGGTATAGTGTCCCTCTATGCATTCACATGCCACTTATACACTGGTTCTAAGTAAGACGGCAATACGTTTTAGGCAACCTCTTTTTTGAAACTGTAATAAACAGGTTTTAGGCTTTGTTTTCAATATTACTCATTTTGCATTTGTTTTCAATATTACTCATTTATTTAAAGACATATTTCAAAATTGGGGTTTAGTGTTGAAACCAAGGGCTTTGGGGTCTAAGGGGGATTATTTAATCAAAAGTAGTATAACATAATTTAACACAATAGTTTAACATAATATTTTTAATCAATGTTATCTTTAATGGTATATTAATATTTTATAGGAAGTTTGTTGGGTCAAAGCAAAATAAACATATAATGAAAGATAAAAGTCAAGTATTTAAAGGAAAAAATGGTAATCCTTTAAAATTAAAGTTTAGGTTATTATAATTGTTCTTGTGTTTCTCTTTTAAATAATAATATTTAATATTTTTAACATAAAATATATTTTTATTGTCTAGAAAGTTCTTCTATCACTTCAAAGGTCAATTATGTAACTGAACCAGCATCAGCAACTAAAACCAACTTAACTTCCAAAAAAAATATTTTGCCAGGTTTGTCTTAAATGAATTAAGTTTTAAATAAGATTTTATTTAACAATCTAAATTAATAACATTTCTATATTTATAAGTTATTTTAAATTATAAGCATATAAAAATAATACATTCAATATTCATATATACTAAATTATATTTATATATACTAAATATACTAAATATTTATATATAATAAAATATACTTTAACTAAATAATATTCTTTTATAAATGTTTTAGTTTTGAAAGAACTAAAAAAATATAATAAAGTAATTTTAGAAAATATAGCATTTATTTTTCCTTTGTACCAGTTTTGCAAAAAAAAAAAAAAAAAAAAAGTCTAATATGTGCTTTCATACATTTAAAGTAAAAGTACATTAGAATTCTGGCAACCTAGTATCTTGAGGGAAACATATTTATTGTCTGATTTCGCAAATGTCTCATCTAAGCAAAGCTCTCAGTATGTCACACTTTTTGAAAATGTCTGACTTAACAAGATTTCGAGCCTCATCAAATTTTTTTCTAAAAATATAAATGTTATGTTCTATATATAGAACTATAAATATATTTTAGAAATATATTTTAGTATATAAGGGAAAAGTCCAATATTGATGTTTGTTTCAATGACTCCAAAAACTCTTTTTTAAACAGTTTTGAAGCATTTAAAGCTTCTCTTTTGGTTTCACCATTCTAAGTAAACATTGAAAAATTAACAAATTAATCAATGGCTTAACAAAATTCTTTAAGCATGGCCGAGCGGGTACCAAGTAGGTATTATAAGTTTTATAATCAGATGTTAAAGATTGCAAGATTGAATTACAGTCAATTCATTATTATTTATTTTTAAAAAAATTTGTTTCAGTATCTGCACTATTTTTTAATGAGTTAAATTAACTTTACGGAAGTTTAATTCAGGCATTATATAAGTTAAAAACGAAATAAGTAACATTGAAAAAAATAGTCTAAAATCAATTTTTTTCGTACTTAAAAAAAGGGGTGCTGAAATTTATGTAAACCTTTTAGCACTCAGTCCCAGTGCTAAGAGGTGGAATGTGTTTGCATAGGGGGATATCATATCCCCTCCCCTATGCATATATTTTTATATGTTTTTTTTGGCAATTTAGGATCTTTAGTCAGAAAATTAACTTTTCTAATGCAAATTATGGACGATGAGACGGTTATGATTTTTATTTTTTTAAAAAGTTGGTATATATTTAAAAACAGATTTTAAACAAAAAATTTAGTTTTTTAGTTTCAAAAAAGTTTAGTTTTTTTTATTTAGTTTATTTTAACAAGTTAATTGTGATAAATTAATTAAATAAACATTACTTTTTTTAATTAATGTGTACTTACTTTTTTTATTGAACCCTTCCTCCCTCTCATGTTTTGTATGCTGTTTGCAGAAATTTTGTATGTATTTATACTGTTTTATTTACCTATGTAAAATTTTAAAATGTTTAAAAACACATAGTAGGACTTGGTGATAAGACAATTTGTCTTTTTCTTGTTCTGACCATGACTTTCTATTACTCTATTTTTTTTTTTTTTTACTTTTAACAAATGAAAAAATAAATTTAAAAACAAATTATAAAAAAAATTATAATACATGAAAAAACAATGAAAAACTGATTGAAGATCAAGCGAGAATAAGAAATTTTTTTACTTTTTTCATTAAATAATTAGTAGTCCAGTTTTTTAATTAGTTTTTTTAGTTTTTTTCTCTGTGGTTGAGAAAAAGTACGAAAAAATGAAAAATAAAAATAGCACTACTGATAATCATAGCATACAACTTAAGTAAGCCATTAACAGTGTTTTAGTTATCCGGGCAACTGAGATCTTGTTATTGTTGACACCACTTATATCTAAATCTATATATATATATGTGTGTGTATGTGTATATATATATATATATATATATATATATATATATATATATATATATATATATATATATATATATATATATATATATATATATATACACACATTTATTTCATATGGTAAACCAAGATTTGTAACTAATTTAGATGTGAATTTTATGAAAAGGATTAACAAGACAGATTTTAACATTAACAAGGCAGATGTTAGCTTCACATTAGAAAAAACTGCTAGCAGAGCAAGTTGGTTTGATAATTTTTTAATTTAAATATACATAGTTGCAAATAAAGTAGATTCACCAATTTTGTTTTTCAAGTAACATAACAAAACAAAAAATCAAATAGGGAAACAATAACATTTAAAAAAAATTTAATCACATCATCACATATCTTAAAGCGTTCTCCCAGATGTCACTATTCCAAACATCTCATTCTTTTATCAAACATTTGACATTTTATTAAGTAACTTAAGTAACTTAGATATTTCTCTACATTTAAATTATTAATTTTTTTAGATGACTCTCATCCTTTGAAATCTCAAGTTACTAAAGTTTTGAAAGCGTCATTTGGCTTACATGCTTTTAGGCAGAATCAGTTGGATGCAATACTATCTGCTCTTGATAAAAAAGATTGTTTTGTGTTAATGCCAACAGGTGGTGGGAAAAGTTTATGCTATCAATTAACAGCTCTTCTTACTCCTGGTCTCACTGTTGTGGTTTCTCCTCTTCGATCACTTATTATAGACCAAGTTCAAAAACTTAAATCTCTTAAGGTTTTTAGTTGTTTTTTTAATTTGAACAATTTTATAATTAAATTTTTTTTTTTTTTAATTTTTTATTTTATTAGCTTGTTTGAAGTAAAATATTTTGTGTAGATGGTTACACAAGGTTGCTTATAGATTAACAATATACAGTCCTTTAGTTTAACAAAGCCTAAGTGAATGACAAAGATTTAATTTCTTAATCATGGTTTAGATATCAGCAGCATATTTATCATCTGACGTTACAAAAGACGAGGAACAACAAGTTTACATTGATTTAGCGAAAAGAGAGCCATCTTTAAAGCTTTTGTATGTTACACCAGAGAAGTTGAGCATTAGCTATAAATTGACTTCATGTTTTAAAGGACTGTATGACAGAAAATTACTGGATCGTTTTGTTATAGATGAAGCACATTGTATTAGCCAATGGGGCCATGATTTTCGTCCTGTATGTTTTTAATTTTTTTTATAAAAATAATTTGGTTTAGTTTTATTATTATTAAAATTTTTTTTTTACTATTGGTTGTTCCAGTGTATCATGTTTTATTAAAATTTAAGTAGTTAAACAATTTCTTAACAGATAAATATTTTAATTTTTTTAAATTTTATTTGCACAATTATGATCATTTAAATAAGAATAAAAAAGGTATATATATATATATATATATATATATATATATATATATATATTTTCCTTCACCTTTAGACAGGTATTTTCCAGATAACTGCTCAATTGGGGCCCAAACCCTCAGTTAATAGCTCTTCTATTACAGCAGAAAATAAAAATTAAAACTTTATTTTTCATTAAATTAAAAATTTAAAATAGGCTAACATAGATTAAATATAAAAGTTAAAATAGTCTAACATAGAAGTTAAACATAGAAGAAGTCATCATAATTGATGTATGCTTAAGCACAGGCTGGCACTGACCAAACATATTTTGTACATTTAAAATGCAGACTTAAAACAAGACAGTAATGAGTGATATTTTATTTAAGATTTATTGTGCAAAGATATTTGTATAATTATAATCTTTCTTTAAATGTTTAATTATTAATAATTGTTAATAATTGATAATAAATAATTGAAGTTAACTAAAAATGTTAATAAATTTATTATCTTTTATAAATATTTATATTATATCTCATGTATATATATATATATATATATATATATATATATATATATATATATATATATATATATATATATATATATATATATTGTATTACTATTTATTTTTATTATTTGCTTTTATATTATTATAGTAGTATTTTCATATTAATAATGGTTATTACATATATAATTTTGGTTATACAAAAATATAATTTGCATTAGCGTTGCTATTTAAAGTAAATTAATAAACGTTTAGTTATTTTATTTTTGTTATGAAGGATTATAAGAAGTTAAACATGCTTCGAAGCAATTACAAAAATGTACCTGTAATGGCATTAACAGCAACTGCAACTCCAAGAGTTCAAAAAGATATTCTTAATCAGCTATGTATGAATAACCCTGAAATGTAATTTTATTATTTTTTATTTAATTATAAATGTTATTTAACATCATTAATCTCATGTTATAATATGTTTTTTTTTTATTTAAAGTGATTTATTAACACTTTTTAAATTGGATAAAATTTAATTTAATAATTTACTTTTAAATTATTTTTTTTTTGTTTTAAATTGCCATATTAATGCTAAATTGATTTGTTTTTATTGTCTTTTTCAGTTATATTTTTCTTTTCTTTTTCATATTTTATATCTTAACAATCATTTTTTCATGATTTTTATTAATATCCTACTAAAATGTTTTTGTTTACATTTCCAGCTTTATCCAAAGTTTCAATCGAGTTAATTTGCAATACTTTGTTGTTTCCAAAAGTAAAAATACACTTAATGACATGGTGAATAAAATTAAAACAGAGTTTGATAACAAGTCTGGCATAATATATTGTTTTGCAAGGTAACTTTGTTTAATTAAAAAAAAAAACTTTCTGTAAAAAAGAAACAAATAAAGTTGTTATTTTTTAAACATGTTGTTATTCATACTGGATGCTTCATTTTCATAGTTTTTTCCAAAAATAGAAATAGAAATTAAAAGTTCTATAAACATTGACAAAATTGTGTCAGATGATTAGAAGTTATGAATGAATGAAATGAATTATGGGTATTTTATTTGATGGTTGTTTGAGAGAGTATGCAAAAATTGATTTTTTGTCATTTTTGATTATTCATTTTAATCTTAAGTATTGGATACCCCATTATTATTATTATTTTTTAAATTATAAATATTTATAATAGTACCTTAAAATGCAATAATACTTATTGAGAAGTTAGAATTTAGTCATAATATTCAGCAAAAAAAATTGAAGTCATTTGGTGCATTTTTTGTGACCTTATAATGTCTAAAACTTTAGGCTTTTTGTATAGTTTCTTTTTTAAATATAGACATTGGTCTTTGAACTACTTAAAACAAAATATATGTAAAATAAAACAGATTTTCTTTTAAGATAAAGTCTTTTGTTTTATATTTTCTTTGTACTGTGATCATGTTTCTTTGTTCTTGATCATTTTGTTATCAC